TCCCTCCAGCCCGGCTACTCAGTTTTCCTCCTTCAAAGTTAGCCGGGCGCGACTGCCCGCAGCGGCGCAGGGCTGCGGATCGGGCGTCCTCTGCGCGGCTCAGACGACAAGCGGCTGAGTCAGGACAGCACTAGAGAAGAAGACAGAGAGGATGGTAGGGGCGAAGCCCTTCAGGCACTGCCCGACCCACCGCAGCGCACCCGCACTGGGGCTGGCGAGCGAGCTGTCGGTGTACCTGGCATGCGCAACGACCTCCCCCCAAAGCGCTCCTGGCTCCCTGCAGAAAGACGACCCGCCTGGAACGCACCCTGCGGAGTCCGATGGGGCCACACTAGCTTCTTCTAGGCCTATTGGGGAGGCGGTATGTCACAGGCAGGAGTCTGAGTTGCTGGCAAGCGCCTTGGGGTCTCAGGGATCTGGCCGAGCTGGCTGGCGGTCCCGGCGCCGGCAGAAGAAGGGGGAGGGGAGAGAGGCTGCCTCTGCAAGATCGCGCTCCCTGGCCCTGAGGTTGGCGTCCGAGGGCTGTGGGGAGAAGTCTGTCCAGGGTCCGAGTAGGTCACGGATTCCCCCACTCGCGGGCGAGCGCGCACACACACACACCCACACACCCACACAAACACACACGCACGAGAGGGCGCAGCACTTGATGGGCTGTGGGCGTTTTCGTCTCAGAAATCAAAGTTGCCGGCACACCCCAGAGCCACGTTAAGTTTGTAAAAACAGGGAGATGGCAATTTGTCCAAGAAAAATCTAAGTCCGGATCTTTTCAACGGCGGAGTTGGGGAGGGGAAGAGGGGATTGGGAGAAGGGAAAGGGGGAAGCGACAACAGTACCGGCCAGGAGAGGCGGTGCCGCAGCCGCGGGTACCGGGGGCTTCTCCACCTCCCTCGTTTGGGCTCCGAGGGACGCCGCTGCTGCCGCCGCCACGGTAGGAAGCCTTCCTAGCTCAGTCGCATGTCGTTGGGGTCCGCCTCAGCAGCTGCCACGGTCGAAGGTTCGGTCGCCGCTGAAGTTTACTTGCTGGAGCGTCTCGAGTCCATCCTCCCAGGGAGGCGCTGGCCGCGCCGCCTTGGGCTCCCTCCCTTCCCCGGCGCTGGAGTGCTGGGAAGGTCTGTCTTGCTCTCCGAGTAGAGAAAGAGTGAAAGTGTGGGGTGGGGAATGTGAGTGTGGAGTATGAGCGAGTAGGAAGAGATGGGTTTGGGGTGGGAGGCTTCGGATCTCGGACGAAGCCGTTTAGCTGGAATGCTGCAGAGACAACGCGCCAATGGCCAGCACCGGGTTAGGGACCTGGTTGCCAGTGCCCCCCGGGCAAGCCAGGCGTGGTGCCCGAGAGCGGTGCTGCCCTCTGAGCTAGCTCGTCCGTCTTCCCCCTGCACCAACCGACACTGCCTCTGCTGCTGCTGCTCCTCCCGATGCCGCAAACTACTGGCTGTGGAGTCTGGAGAGAACAGAAGATAGCCGTAGCTGCCGAGCCCGGCTACGCCAGGCGCTGGCCAATCAGAGCGCCGCCGAGAGGGCTCGGGCACTGGGGCGGGACCAAGGCGCGCGCGCGGGGGTGGGGTGGGGGTGTCAGGCTGAAACTTACACACAAGCAGGACCGAGGTGTACCCTAGCTTGCGGAGCCTAGCCCGAGTCCTAGGAAGCGGGACTGGCAGGACAGGCAGGGGAAAAAGGGCGGGCTGGAGCGGAGAGGGGATGTGCAGGCTCTGCGACTGAGAATGCTCATGAACTGCACTCATCTACAGTTTGTAGAGATTGCAGGAAAGACAAGGATTTGATTCTTTTGGGGTGCTTATATCCATCACATATCTTAACATCTTGCATATAATATTCACATTCATTCTCTCCTCCCGCCTCCGGATTTCTCTGTTTCTCGTTTTCCTCTCTTTTCATCTTCCCATTACCTCATTTTTGGGTATTGGAAGAAAGAAAGGGAAGGAGAAAGCGCCCCTGGGAGCGTTATTCATCCGGCCCAAGCGTTTTCACTTCAGCCTAGAGCTAAAGCTGCCATCTACCAAGACTGTCACCCCCATTCATCCATCCCCGGGCGGGCAGACGCTGCATTCCCCTGATCTCTGCCAGCAGGGCCCCTGACCCAGTTGAGCTCTATCTTCTGTTGCTTGTTAATCAAACTGGAACGTTGGCGCAAGGGCTGAGCCTCCAAGGGGTCTGGACACACTTCGTTGCCCTTCAGCCCACCTTTTTTGATAATTTAGCTCCCTATAAACTGCATCTTTGAGAAAAGCCAGGAAAGCAGACGCCGCCGCTCCGCTCCAAATCAAGCCAGAAGAGCCCGAGCTGGGCAGAAGCTGTGGGGTGGGAGCGACACTTACGTTGGTCCCTGGCAGCTGGGAGCCAGATTTCATATGCTTGGCATCCCAGCCTTGCTCTGGGGCCGCGGTCCCAGAGAACAACCAGCCCTGCTTGGGCGGCGGTGGCGGTACGGCTGCAGTGTTTGCCAATGCTGCGAAGCCTGAGTCTGGCATAGCCAGGGCTGACCTCGAGCCTAGCCTACCTTCTGGACAGAAGACTCCTTGAGGACAGAGAAGGACTCCTCCCCGCCCTGTGCAGGCTCTTCATTGAGGTCACCGGCGGAAAGAATCAAAAGAACCTCCGCTGAGCATTTTTTAAAATCATAAATTGGGGATGGGAGAGCAGCTTCTGAATTCACAATTCTTGAGAGCAAAACTCCCTTCTGGGTGAGTGGTCCCAGATATTTAGGAGTCTTGAGTGAGCAGACTCATAATCCAGCAACACTGGCCAGAGCCTGTTGACTTAAAAACAGGCCCCCACCAAAAAAAACAAACAAACAACAACAACAACAAGATCCCTTTAAATACGAAAAGGAAAAAAGACATTCGGAGACATAATGAATTTTCACAAAACTGCCATCTTATTGCACACAACAACACAGCAACGTTCTAAAATTTCTCCTTCCAAGGGGAGCTACTTTAGCAGCCTTTCCCTTGACGGTGGGAGAAGAGAAAGATAGCTTTCTCCTACAGAAAAGAATTGTTTCACCAGCGAGCTTGTGACCCTCTGAATGGGTAGCTAAGGCTAAGAGGAGAGAGCCTGGAGTCTGATCGGCTTTCCGCGTAGGGGGTCTTTTCATTCTTTCACTTTAGAATGCAATTCAGCCCAGAATATCAGAGAAAACATCCGAGGCTTCTGCAGTGAATATCTTTCAATTTTTATCAGTCAAAGCTGTGGATAAGAGGCAGATAAGGTGGGTCAAGGGATTCCAGTGGGTCACTGGGTTTTTTGGCAAAAACGATGGAGAAATGGGCAAGTAGTGGGGGGAAATGACAGCGAGCACACTTCATGGGCTCCACTTGATATATCATAGTTATTTACCTTTGATGTAAAGGAATGGGAATGAAGTGCATTTTGGTCTAATTAAAAAGGCCTAAAAAGGCATTTGAAATGGGTTTGCTTCTGATCATGGGATGTGAGTTTGGCGTTTGGCAGCTTTCTAAAATATTGCTTGGACTATTTAAACAGAACAATTAGCAGCATGTTAAAATGTTTGCATGCTATGCTTAGAAGCTTTTAGCTATAAACTTTAAGACGCTCTGTTCCCCTTTAAGTTAAAAAAGGATGATGCTGCTTCCTTGTGGCGAAGGCTGTCAGGAACCCACTGATCAATAGAAGTAAACTGGCGCCTCCACGGCTTGATTGAGCGGGAGCAAAGAGTCTGAAAAGTAGTCTCAGCCATTAACAATCCCCCAGGTAATGAGAAATGGAAGAATTACTCAGGTAAAATGATTAACATTGTCGTGGCATCTGAAAAGATGCACACAACAAGATAAGAAGACTACGGACCTCTTACTTTAGGGAGTGCTAATAGAATGTCTATATTCTGCTGTCTTTAAAGATAAATAGGAGAATTCAATTCATGTAGAATGTCATTACCTTTGTAATTGCAATCACATTACAAAGACATGTTCTGAATTTGCAAAGACAAACGCTCTTCAGTGAGGCGACGGCATCATTTTCCCTGCTTCCTGCTCCCGGCTCACACTCCAGGCCCCCTTCTTTTCCAAGCAGAGAACCCAAGTACTTCCAGTCACCAAATCGCTTTTACAGAAGCCAGATACTGAATGAGGAGGGGTGTATGCATCTGCTTTCCTTCTTCCCCATTACCTCCCCCACCCCAAGCTCAAAGTGACAGTCACAACCCCAACACACATACAATTGTTCTTCCTTCCTCCATTCTATTTATACTGATTACCCAACGCCGTTTACTCTCGCAATATTTTTTTTTCTAATAGGCATACTCAGTCATTGTACTGAAACAGTACTGTTGGCTAAATGAGTGGTCAAAAACATCTTTGTGATCAGGAATCTATTAACTAACTGAATAAAACCGTTCTGCATGTAGATAATAAACACAAAAAGAAACTTCCTTTATTTCAATCCTGAAGGGAGTCGGCCTCCTCAGTTTCTTTAGAGACGCAAGAGGGACATCTAGTGGCCATCCTAAGTATTTTTCCCCAAACGCTCTGGATCAACTAGGTGTTGAGTACCACCAACTATAGGACCAACAGGGCAGGCCTCTGCTCTCCGGGCCAAGGCACTGAGGCTGACATTAAAACAGGTAAAGAGACTGTTTTTTGTCTTTCAAATTT